CGCTCCCCCGGGGGGTGAGGAGCCGCCCCCCCCCCATCCCTTGTTGCTGCCCAAAGAAAGAAAGACTAGTTGAAATTCCCAACATTTTATTGAAAAAAAGGGATCCTGCTAAAACAGGGACGTTATTGGGAGGGTGAGACGTGGCGGCAGCACAGCTGGCTGTGATCTGCTTTATCCCAAAGAGAAAGCTGAGTTTTTCCTGCAACGTGTTTAGAAGAACTTGGCAAAATGCTGATTTAACAACGTTTAGTTAAAAATATTCCTAAAAAGTAACACGGAGACTGAGCCTTGACATTTTTTGCTGTGTCACTTATGAGAGCATTGTAGCTTGGGAGTCAAATTCTTCCCTGCATCTTTTTTCTTTACTAGAATTAATAAACCTTTCAATCAAGCTTTTAAAGTGTAGTAGATGCATCTATATTAGCAAAGTTGTTTCCTTTAATGTTTGTATTGCTTTTCCTTAATCCCTCACAGACTTCCTACCATCTGAACAAATACTTAATAGCTATCTATTAAAAAAAAATAATGCAACAGTTAATGGAATAAAAGTTGTCAAATACCAGAAGCACTGTTAGATGAGGGATTAAGAGATTTAAGTCGGAGCAAAAGGGGCTAAAGATGGAGCTTTGTTACTGTCCAGGTTCCTGGTGATCTCTGCTAGTGCCAGGCAGGTGTGTACCCAGTGGTACAGGTACTCAGCTGGAGCCGACTGGAGCTGCCACACTGCTGCTCTGGGGACACCTGCAACAAAGGAGAGGGGAAACTCCAGAAGCCAAGTCAAAACTGACCAGTGTTGACATAAAATAAGATCATCCCTTCAGTGGGGTTTCCCCCGAGTAATTCCACCCTGGAACAGGGTGATGCTCTGAAAAGCACACGGTGTTATTGTGCCAGTGGCTCCTGAAACACAGAGTGCTGCCTTTTTCACTGTAATTTATTTTATGTTGTGATAGGTCCCTTGTTGCACAAAGTCCCCTGTGGTGTTTTACTGCTAAACACTTGATAATTAAAAATGTAATTGAAAAACGATTTTTTTCCAAGCTTAGAGGTCTTTTATGAAATTCTGTTAAAGGTCAGCACAGAATCTTGCCATTAAAGGTTTCTGTTTCACTGGAGTGTAGGTGGTTTTGTGTTCTGTTCTATATTGCAGCACATGTATATGGAACATACAGGCATTATCCAACATACACCACATGGGAACACTGCTGTTCATTTTTAAGGAATTCCTCTGCCTGCTATACATGCATTCACTCTGACACTGCTCTCTTAAAATAAGTTCCATCCTGGGAAACCAACCCTTTGTAGCACACTAGCAGTTTGCCAATGCTGTATTCTTTTAGCTACTTCTACATCCCTAACTGGAGGAAGACTGGATGCTGTAGGCCTGCTTCCTTCTCTCCACTGAATTAGTTTAATATGTATGAGGAGAACACATGAAAAGGAACTATGACTGCATTAAGTGTTTACTGGTCATCAGTAGACAGGGTACTGTTGATAAATATTCCCAGCTATATCAAGAAGTCTTGTCCACATTTGATTTTGAACAGGCCTCTCAGTCTGGCAATTAGATCATCAAGGGAGAGATCTCAACAACAGTAATTTCTCTTGTAGAGATATTATACATAATAACAGCCTCTTGACTGCTGTGGCACCAAAACCACTCAGATTTATTAAAAGAGAGAAAGACAGACTGAAGCCCAGCTCCTGAGTATAGCCAGTGAGTATATTAAGTACCTGGCAGATGGTGTTTACAAAGAGGAGGGCTCATACTGTCCTCCCACAGTCACATTGCTGTTTGAAGCTGGGTCAGTCCCTCGGGCAGGGCACAAAGGTCTGAAGTAGATATACTTGCCAAAAGAACCATCATTCCTAATATGTTTATCTGTAGATTCACAATGAGATCACTTGTGGTAGGTTTCAAAGCTGTTCTGCTCCCCTTTCCTTAAGGCAGTGAATTTTGATTCTAAATGTATCAGGTTGACTTCTATTCACCAAAAAAAGACTGCAGAGCCCTTATCTGTTGTTTAATTTGTTGTGAAATCAAAGCTAATTTCTGAAGGAAGGACCTTAAAAGCACTGTGCTGAAGGTTGCCACTGACACTTTAATTGCTGAGCTGTGTTTGGTAATCTCACCATTAGTTTCTGACATTTACCAGTGATGAAGTCCAGCAGCAGCTCTGATTCCACTCCCACAAATGCAGCAGTTGGATCAAAGCAATAAATCTCCTGAATCAAATTGTCATCAAGTTTCTGCAATGCAGAGAACAAAGAGTCAGGTGGTGCTGAAGCACTGGGGAGAGGGTTACAGAATTAAAGATGACAAAGTCAAGCATATGGGAAATCTGTAATTTAATTGCCAATTCACCCTTGGCAAATTCCACTCTATCTTCTTTGGGGAGGAAGAACAGAAAACAAGGTCTCAACATTGGGAAATCTCACCAGGATACACTCACTCCAGTTCTCAGTCTGCTTTGAGCCCTTCCAGTCCGGACGGAAAAGCAACAGCACAGCCTTCACTATGTTATGAAGCAGAGCTGGTGGTTCTGCATAGCTCCTCATTTCAGCAAAGTGCTCAGCACCCAGTTTCCGGATGCACTCCCGCAGGTCCTGCAGCAGGAACCGGTAGAACAGAATCCCCGCGTGCCGCGAGCGCCCCGTCTGCTCTGCCTCTGGAATCAAGAGCAAACCTTTCAAGAAGTTTCTCAGAAACATCTGTTTCTCAAGACATATTATTGACAGAAAGGCCCTGTTTATGATTAACTCTTTGTCTCCTTGACTGAGAGATTTGCATAGAACTCAAGTATCCTATGAAACTTTGAAAAATGGGTATGTGCTTGGGAAGGAGACAAAACTTGCCTCAGGGGCAAGCAGAGGTGCTGAGACCATGAAGGTTCAGGCATCCAGGTAATTCTGGAACTGTGACATTCAAATTCTCTCAATCTTAGTTGGGGCAGTTGTGAGGAGGATGTGCTAGATCCCTGAGGGCAACAAAGCACCTTGCTTCACACCTTTGATTTCAGTGGGACTTGGGCACAAAATACCTGTGAAACAGAGTAAAGATCTAAACACTCCATTTAACTGTACTCTTGCTAAGCACTTAGGCTTGCTCAGGGGTAGTTTGTGGGTTTGTATTTGTATTTCCATACTTGTAGGAAAGACACTTAGAAGTGGTTTTACTAATTCACTCTGGATGCACAATACCCAGTACATAGGTTGGTTCTGTTTCCTCTAAAGACATCTTCAGTATCTCAGAGCAGGCAGCTTGGGCCATCTTCAGCATTTTCTGCAGGTCTTTTTGTTCCTGAGGTGGCAATTTCTGGTGTCCAATGCTGATATCATATAAGCCAAGAGCTTGTCCTGAGAGGTCACGGAGAGGAACTGCAATGTGGGATTCTCCATAGACAGAAGCGCAAATGACCTCTGAACTGTCTATGCACTTAAACAGATAATCTCTGAAACAAGAGTGAGGAGAGGAAAACGTACTGGACTTTACTATTCTGGTTTCTTGGAGTAATTTATTTAGCACATTTTGGAAAGATGCCATTCATCTTTTGTTGTTGAAATAAAGGGATTACATTACTAAATCATTGTTTATTTCTGCCATGGTTTAACAACATATGCTCAGCTTTTAGTATCATTCAAGCCACATACAAAAAGGAGAAAATAACCTTGTGGAACACAAAAAGCCTTAGCTGAGGCAATGGCAGAAAATCATAAGAATTTAATAAAACTTGCTCTAAAAGCAGTTTTGTGCTTGTAACCTCATGGACATTTCTTCTAAAGAGTTTCATAAAAAGTAAATAAGCAAATGACTGTTCAAGCAACTTTGAGAACAAGGGTGATATGCTTAAAAGACAAGTCTGTGAGGACCTTGGCAGTGGAAGGAAACAGATAACTGAATGAAATGAGACTAATATACCCAGGAAAAAAGATTATTCTAAAGACCAAATGGTTTCATGTAGGCTCTAATCCTGCAAACCCTTCACAGCAGATGTAAAGCTTGCTTGGCAGCTCAGCTGGTGTTATTGGAAGTGAAGGTTTTGCAGGCCTAAACTCCAAGAGAAAACACTCCTCAACCCTTCACAATTCAGTATCACACACATCTGCACCAGAAACCTTGATAGTGGGGAGCTACAGCCAGACACTTGCAGGTGCTGAACCCTACCTTAAGAGGTTTTCTTTTCTGAGGAGAACAGGAGAGCTATGAATTTCTTTTCGTCCTGCATTATCTGTAGTAATCATCTTGTGCAGAGCATAGCCATGAGTCTGCCAGAGAGAACAGGGAGGTTTAGCTGCATCCAAAAAAGGAACAGCCATTTTGAAGTGTGGAGACTGAGGAAATTGTTTATTTCTTAAATGAAACTCCTGTGTCCACTCAAGTGCAATGTGATGCTTTGAAGACACATCCCAACAATGCCTGATTTTATTCCTAGAGTGTATTGTTCAAGATGCATGAAGAATGTGCTCTGGACCTCCCTTAGCCAGACAACTTAATCCACCCCCAGGCTCCACACTAAGGAACACGCATAGGCCAAGAAGAGGTTTCCCCTCGTTTTCCTATCCCCTTGCAGTTCTTTTTCTCATGTCATGTTTGTGGCAGCTTGCCTTGACATGTGAAAAGCACAGAGGGGAGCAAATGACCTGGCTATCAGGCAGCTAACTAGGGAACAGAGCAGGGCCTGGAATGACAACAGAAAGCTGCCAACATAAACCATGCTTATCAGAGGAAGCAGTTGAATTATGGCTACAGCAGATGTCATACAGACTTTGTGATGACATAGGATCAGCCCTAAATATTGCATACATTTTTCATCTTCTTAACTCACTTGCATGTGAAGTGACAACCTTCCCAGGCCCCAAGTGCCTGCTGAA